GCAGCCTTGCACCGAGGACCTATCCACGTCATCATTTACCCAGAATGCTTTGTGTGTAAATAAAATGGCTCCGTCCATGATAAAATATATTTTTAAAAATTATAAAAACTAAACATCCTACAGTATTTTTACAGTCTTTATCTTACAGTTAAAACATATGTTTATCAAATAAAGTCTACTGTTACAACTAATTGGGGATCCCTTTAAAAACAAAGTSACACAGAGAAGGCCTAAAACCATCTTAAGTCCTGGCCTGAACTGTCTTGTGAAAGAGCCTAACGAGTCATGAACTAACAGCCAAAGAAAATAAAAACTTCTGTGTGGTAAAGTTACAATCAAAAAGAAAGGCCACCCTCGACTAGTCAAGGGTTTTTGTAGCAAAAACAATAAAGCTGATCTGATGGTTACCATGTTCTAAAATTATTCAAATTCAACCTGAAGTTTACAAAAACAAACTGCATCCAGCCTTACTGCAACCACAGGAACTAATTCAATTCTATTCAGTTTATTTATTCAGCGCCGGTTCAAAACCAGAGTCATCTCAGGGCACTGCACAAAAAAACATTCACAAACATTATAAAATGACAATAATAATAACAAATAAACCATGTCAGAGACTGATAAAGTCTTGCAGAAAACCAGAGTTCTCGCTGTTTAAAGGAGGTTCTACAAACTCCTGGATCGGGAGGTTAAACATGTTTTTTTACTCACAGCTTTAAAATGTTGTTTCTGTTTAATAAATAATGAGGCGGTAGAATGTGTTGAGTGTTTTTCTTCACTCGAGGTTAGCTTTGAAACACCAGCTCATTTTTATTGCTTTATGTCCTGATCCATAAACCTCAGAACTGACAGGGCGGACTTGTGTTTTTCCATGACTGCAATTGGCCAACAGTTAGTTCATTCAGGAAAGAGACTTCCAGATGGGCCTGAGGCTCCTCCGTTCGGCTTCACAGAGGTGAACTGCAGTGGCTTCATGAGGAAGTGCTGATAAGCTGTGTCTGCACACTTCATTCAGGTGTAACTTCACCTGCACTGCTAACAACCCCGCAGCTCCAAACAGGTCGTGTGGTGGTAGATTTTCTTTGAGTCAAGGTTTAAAAACAATGTCTAACCGAGTGAGGCTACTTAATAATAAACGTTTCTGGTAAAGACAGAACTGCAGAGTCAAGTAGTGAAATCAACAATGGTGCTGTTAGGTCCACCTCAGTTTATCTGTGGGATTATGCAGAGCACACAATGCTTTCAATAAACAGCTCAAATATGCGACAAGAAATTTACATCCATGGAACAAAAACCCTGAAACTCTCTAATTCCTTCTAACAACAAGAGCACATTGTAAAAACTAGTAAAAATCACCTTCCTTTAAACTTTTTTTCAGATTATCAGGATTAATCACATTTAAAGACCTGGTTTTACTTCACCAGACACGTCAGATCTCACTGATGTGATTGAGAGTTAGGACTCTGTATTGGCAAGAATTTGGTGATCTGGAGCCTCATGCATAAACAGTGCATACGCACAAAATGTTGCGTGCGCCAGGTTCTACACACACGCTGGGATGTACTAAAACCAACGTTGCGTGAAAGTGTGCGTATTAGGGTTGGGCATAATCGTATCGAGTGCAATTAATCATCAGAAAAACGTTAATCGATTATTTTTTGACACTTGAAGATTAATACGATTAATGCCAGCAGGCAGACTGACTGGAGATTTCCCCGGTCAGCCCCGTCAGTGCTCCTCTACGCTTCAGATATGACCAACATTTTTTAAAAAAGTTCTGTAATTTATTTATCTACAGCAGGTAAAATAAGTATTGAACACGTCACCATTTTTCTCAGTAAATATATTACTAGAGGTGCTAATG